TGAACTCATAGATGTCTTCGATGTTGCAGAACAAGGTGTTCACTGGCTGGGGTTTGAGGGGCAGGTGCCCGCAGTCTATGATACAGCCCAGATAATCCTGCAGAACAGGAATGGGTCAGAACCTGGCATTCCCGGCAAACGCTGCACCAGGCAGGCACCATTTCATCCCTGGGCACACGTGGCAGCCTGTAGGGTGGGGTGCGGCAGCTGTTTTATACGGGGACGGCTTTCCCAGCCCGGGGATGCAGCCACCTCTGGGGTGACACCTGGCCCAAGACTATACAAGGCTGCGTCACTCAGCACTTTGAGATGCGCTCACCTCTGGGGTGGGCCGGGGCAGTTGTTTTTACAGGAGCCATTCCCCAGCACTGAAGTGCACCCATCTGTGGGGCAGCCCCCAGCAGCTGTTGCATAACATTCTGCACAGTGGCCACTCGCCCGGATTGATGTGGGACTGGCCTGGGGTGGGGCATGGCAGTTGCTTACTAGCCGCATAGCTCAGGGATTACACGCCCAGCAGCGAAATGCAGAGAAGTCAGCGGAGGAGCACAACAGCTGTTTATAAAGGAATCCGGCACCCAGCACCAAAGTGCAGCCACCCCAGCAATGGGGCATGGTAGCTCTTTATACAATTATCCCTCCCTCAGCTCTGGGATGCAGCTAGCTCTGCCGTGGAACATGAAACCCACTTGTACAAGGATCCTGCACCTAGCGCTGAGAGGGGTGGAGCATGACAGAGATCCCTCACCGGCTCATCCCTGGGGAGAAACCACAGTGCATCATGGGAGATGACATCTGGCCAGGGAGCAGGGTCCAGAGAGGCTAAGGAGGAACATTTGACTACAACTCCCACAATGCAGCGTGGCAGCTCAGGCCCTCAGCGGAATTCGCTTGACTCCAAAATGAACCCTCCCAACAACGTTTCCATATGAAAACTTCTGGCTGCGTGAAAAGAGCCCAGATTCCAACTTTTCTTCCCCAAACCCAGGGTTGAAATATTGGACTTTTCCAAGGAGGGAAATTCCATTTTCCCGTTGGCTCCACTCTAGGAAGCTTCTAGGGAGATCCCAGCCGGCATGCACAGGCTCGCCAGCTGGATACAGGTTGACAGCTGCTGGATTCACAGGGTGCTGTTGTCCCCTTGACTGCAAAGGGGTGGAACAACCCACGGGAAATCTACCTAGACCGGGATCCCTATGGCAACATTTTGGGGCCAGGGGCTGGGATCTAGGATCCCTGGCTCCATCCCCAGCGTGGTTTGATCTGAAGAGTTGTCAGGACTCCTGGGTTCTTTCCCGAGCTGTAGGAGGAGGGATTAGAGTGGGGTTGATGGGACAGTGGAGGTGGGGGGCGGGTCAGGACTTCTGGGATCTGTCCCGAGCTCTAGGAGGGGGACATGTGGGGCGTAATGGTCAGAGCAAAAGCCAAGACTCCTGGGTCCCATTACCACCCGCTCTGTGCCTCGGTTACCCCGGGTGAAATAACATTTCCTTCTACCCTGAGTTTCAGTACTTCCAGCACTCGCCCACCCACCAAATGCGGTTAATCAACCCGGAACGAGTGCTGCTTAGACAATCTGTTAAACTCATTCTCATTTCTCTGCCAGTGACCTTTCCCTAGCTCCCCCACCCCCTCTGACGCTGCACCTCCCACAGCCAGAAAAACCCGCCTGCCCATGCAAAGGAGACTCAGTGCTGGCCCCGGCCCAGGACGGCTCCGGCTGACTCACAACCGCCCTAGAACGTAGGGACCAATCACAAGCGTGCAGCCAAGATTTCAACGATTCTACTGGGAGTCTGTCCTGAGAGGAACCCAGACAATGTCAAAAGGTGCTGAGGGATTGCTCCAAAAATATCTACTTTGAAGGAGGGAGGCAGAGGAAACCTCAAACCCTTAAGAAATAAAAGATCATACTATGTTTCCCAGACCAGCGGTTTTCTCCGCCCCAAAACACACTCGCAGAATTTGATTCTGGTGAAACGACTAGGAATTTTTTGGAATCCATTTGACCTAAACCGAATTCTTTTCCGTTTTTCAGAGCTACCAGTGAACCCAAAAGTCAGTTATTCGCCCGGCTTGCTTAGCAACGTCTCCTAGTGAGCGCACTTCTGAGAAAAGACGAAATCACAGCCCCCAAAAGATGTGCCAAATTAAAAACTAGGAAAAAAATTAAAAACTCTGTTCAACGTGGAGGGAGCCATTCGAGTCAAATATCAGAGGGGTAGCCGTGTTAGTCTGGACCTGCAAAAGCGACAAGGAGTCGTGTGGCACCTTATAGACTAACAGATGTATTGGAGCATAAGCTTTCGTGGGCAAAGACCCATGCATGCATCTGACGAAGTGGGTCTTTGCCCACGAAAGCTTATGCTCCAATACATCTGTTAAGTCTATAAGGTGACTCAGGATGCCTTGTTGCTATTAGAGTCAAAGTAACTTGTCAAAATGGAGAAATTCCTCCATATGGCTCAACCAGCCTCCATATCAATGCGCCTTCTCAGTCTCAGCCATTTCGGTTTCCATCCCCTGTCCAGATTACAGACAGAATCTGTTATTGTATTGCTAGTCCGAGATCAGGGCCCATTGTGCTCCGGGCTGTAAAAACCTTCCCTGCTCAAAAGACAGTACAATCAGGCTAGATGGATGAAAGGTGGCAGGGAAGGAGGACTATTATCCCTGTTCAGCAGATGGGGAAACTGAGGCACGGGGCTTAAGGCCCTTCTTGTTGGACCTGCCAAGCACCTACAATTTCACTGAGTCATGGGAACTCAGCGCCTCGAATTCTTTAGCCTCAAGAGGCTTGCTCATGATTACCCGCCCAGGGAATCTACGGAAGAACTGGGAACAGAAGCCAGATCTCCTGACTGCCAGATCCTCCGCTCTCACTATGACACATCCTCCTCTCAGAACTGGTAATGGAACCCAAGAGTCCTGCTTCTCTGTCTCTCCATGCTCTAACCACTAGATCCTTCTCCCCTCCCTGACCTGGCAATAGAACCCAGGCGTCCTGGCACCTAGGTCCCATTGCTCTAACCCAGGGGTGGGCAAAATCCAGCCCACAAGCCAGATCCTGCCTGCAGCCCACCCCGCCACACCCCACCCCCAGGTCAATTGAGACCCAGGGGCGGGGGAGCGCATGAGGTCTCCTCCCCGCACCAGGGGCAGGCGGCACCAGAGGGAACCTCCAAATGTTCAAAATGGCTGGCGGTTCCCTCTAGGTGGGCGGGGTGACGGGGAGAGATCTCATGGGCTCCCCTGCCCCAGAGGGAAGCCCACAAAATCTCCCCCCCCCCCGCATGCTGAGCATAGAGGGGGAACCGCCCCTTCCACTACCGACACTGGTACGGGTAATCCTCACTCCCTAGCACAGTATCTCAGGCCTGAGAGCTCCCATGAGAGAGCTGGTGTCTGCAGGCCCCATAGTCCCACAAGAAAGGAGACAAATGAAAAGGAAGCCAAAGCACCAGGTTACAAGACATGGAAATCTGGGCAGGAAATAGGCTGGGTGTCCAAGAAGGAGACACTACCGAAGGGGGCAGAGGCTTATTATCAGCCCCCGGAGGGGTGTGGGGTCTAGTGGTTAGAGCAGGGGGGCTGGGAGCCAAGAGTCTGGGTTTTAATGCCAGCGAACAGTTCAAACCAGGACTTTGGTTGCACTCAATGCAAGGGCCTGTATGTTTCTCGCTGGAAGTGAAAGTCCAGCCTGGGCTGAGCTGTTTGCTGCTGGGGTTAGAGCTTCCCTCCTCGCAATACTGGATCCAGGCTCCCGGCAGATGCTCCCCACCTCCACCCACTCAAGCTCACATCTCACATTTCAGCCCTTCCTGCCAGAGGAATAACTGGGATTCTTTGGGCCTCTCTGGGGACAGCCAGGGCCGGCCCTGCTCCACTGGCACTGGCAAGGCAGATGAGTCCACACGTGCACACACACACCCCCCAAATCGCTGCTCTCCGGGGTCACCTCTGACCTGAGTCAGCGCTGCTGAGTGGCCAGGGGGTTGGGCTAGGCCTCAGGAATCCTGGCTCTGCCCCAGACGTGCCATGTCTCCGTGGACAAGTCACAGCCTCTTTCATGACTCAGTTTCCCCACCCTTTGTTTAGACTAGAAGCTCTTCAGGGAAGCGTGAGTCCGTGCTGCACCAGGCGCCATGGGATCCAATCCCAGTGGGAGCCTATTGTTGTTATCGGAAAACCAATGGGAATTAACGTTATGTGTTAATTATACACATGGCATCCCATTTACTTGGGTGTTATACCTGCCCCCCATACTGCCCCCTACTGGACGAGGCTGGGGAACTGCCCCCCCCACCAGCACTCCTGCCCTGCACTCCACAGCACCCCCTACTGGGCAAGGCCAGGAATGGCATAGCTGGCAGCTCCCCCTGCACACCCTCAGCTCACCTCCACGATACTCCTCAGGTCTCGGACATAAGCCTGCTCCGTCTCCACGATCTCTAGCACCACTCGGTCCAGCTGGGACAGCTTAGCCCGGCGTTCCCTGGCTCTGGAGGGCCCAGGGGACCAGGTGCCGCTGCTGCGTTTGGCGCCCCCTGGGGGCTGCTCGGCCTCAACCGGCCCCTCCAGCAGCAGCACGGGGGTGAGGTCAAGGTTAATGTCACTGCCGCTCTGCTGGGCGTCGGGGGGATAGCCGGCGGAGCTACCTCCACCCAGGGCCCCGCTGCTGCCGAAGGCGCTCTGGCTGTCAGGCAGGGAGGCTGAGGAAGCGGAGGAGCTGAGGCTGACGGGCCGATCTCCATCCGAGCACACGGTGTTGACTGAGGTGCAGCTGCCCGAGATGGCGGCGGCGGCCATGCTGTCGGCAATCCCGCTCAGCGAGGACACAGAGGACGGCCTGGCAGCTGCTGGGGAGGAGAGAGAGATGGCTGGATTAGTGGTGCCCACCTGCTGGGACACTCCCCATCACACAGCACCCCCTGCTGGGAGAGGCTGGGACTGGAGTAGCCAGGCGCTCCCCACAGCCAGCTCTTACCCAGCTCCCCACAGCACCCCCTGCTGGGAGAGGCTGGGACTGGAGTAGCCAGGCGCTCCCCACAGCCAGCTCTTACCCAGCTCCCCACAGCACCCCCTGCTGGGAGAGGTCGGGACTGGAATTACCCCCACACCCAGCTCTTACTCAGCGCCCCCCGCTGGAAGAGGTTGGGACTGGAGTTGCTGGGAACTACCCCCCCCAGAGCCAGCTCCTGCCCTGCTCCCCACAGAGCTCCCTGGAGGGGAGTAGGGTCTACTGGACAGAGCAGAGAAGTGAGTCTGGATTCCTGGGTTCCCCCCAAGCTCTGTCACTTGGTGATGCTGGGCAAGCCCTGCCCTTCCCCCGTGCCTCTGTTTCCCCTTCTGTGTAATGGTACCACAGCACCCATCGCTATCCCCAATGCATGCGCGTGGCTAAACTCATTCATGCCTGCAGAGTGTTTAGCGATCCCCCAAGGGACACAATGGGGGAGCAAAGGGTTCACTGCACTGATGCACAGGGCTCGGGCAGATTTCCCCAGAGGTCTCCTAGGGCAGCTGCCCGGCGTGGCCAGGAACGGGTATAGGCCTCGCTGTTCAGCCCTTCCCAGACTGAGCCTCCTGTAGCTATAGGAGATGGGAGCGCCCCAGCATCCTTTCTAGTCCTACCACCCCTTCACCTCAGCCCCCGCGCCTCCGGCACCTGCCCTGCACCTTGCAAGCACCTTCCCGCCCCATGGCCACAATGAGCCACGGAGCCGCTTCCTCCGTTCTCCCCCTCGCCCCACATCATCACCTCGGATCTTGGCTCTGTGGGGGTTTGCCCCCCTGGGACGCAGCGACATTGCAGCATCTGTCCCCAGCTGCACTTCATGCTCCCTTCCTCCCCCCCACCCCCCAGCTCCGATCTCCAAGGGCTTCCTCACTTCCTGCCCTGCCTTGCTGTGGTTTGCGTTGCATTGTGGGAGCAGAGGCTTTGCACACGCACCCTATGCACAGTGAGGTCTGCTGCTCAGGAAAAGGTCTGCACCAAAATATACACTGGAGCCGGGGCCCAGAGCAGATTCAGACAGTGTGAGCCCATGTCTCTCCTTTGCTTGTATTTTAGTTTAGCTTACTATATAGTTTAGAAATGTGCGTCTGTCTGGCCGTCCATCCATGAGTCCCTGTGTTCACAAACCCCTCCTAAACAGGAAGAGCTAGGACCCCCTCATGCTGCTTCCTCTTACCATCACTTCAGGGTGGAGTTTGGTTGCGCCAGGACAATGGGATGTGCCTGGAATTCGATTGTTTCCCATGAAATGGAAAGGGAGGGGTCTGGCAGGAGGGACTTATACTGTAAAATGACCACAGGGGGGCACAAGGAGCCAGAGATGGGGACCGGGACGGCTATAACCCCATTGGGCCAGCAGGGGGCAGGGTGGAGAAAGGGACAGCTACCTACTATAGCAGTGGTCACCAACCAGTAGATTTTGGACCCTTTGACAGGTGATCCTGGCAGGTTTGGGGGGAGGCTGTCAAGTGCCAGGACTGTATCTGTCCCTCTCAGCTCCTTTGCTGCTCCTGCCCTCTGCTTGGAGCTGTCCTCCAGCCCCAGGAGCCTCTTGCTTGCTGTGCAGGGCACAGGAAGAAGAGGAGGGGGTGCCCCTTCCTCCACTCTGTACCCCAACTCCACAGAGCAGAGGGGGGCAGGGATGGAGAGAGTTTGCTGGCTGCTTTTGGGAGTGGTGCAGGGCCAGGGGAGGGGTGAGCCTGCCTTAGTCCCCTGCGCCACCACCCAGAAGCCACTTGTGGTAAACAGTGCCCAGCTGGAGCCTGCATTCCGAACCCCAGCCCTAGTCCTGAACCCCTCCTGCACCCCAAACCTCTGCAACCCTGCACCCAAACTCCTTCCCAGAGCCAGCACCCTGAACCCCCTCCTGCACCTCAGTTCCCTGCCCCAGGCTCAGCTCAGAACCCCTCCCACACTCCAAGCATCCCAGCCCTCTGGCCCGGGCAGGATAAAAGCGAGTGAGGATGGGGGAGGGAGGGAGGATGGGGTGGGAAGGAGGCGGGGCAAGCGTGTTTAGGTCTGAGGTGAATCCTGGATTGCACTTAAATTCAAAAAGTGATCGCATGCTTAAAACGGTTGGAGGCCGCTGTACTACATATTTCAGAGAATGTGTCTGTTCGTGTGGCTGTGGCTGTCTGTCTCCCAGCGGGGGGACATGCACTGATCCCCCGGCTATGCCAGCCGGAGCTGCAGCCATCATGGAGAGGGGCTTTTCATATGGCCCCTCCCTTTGACAGGAAGAGAACACCACCTGCGCTCCAAACTCCCTCACCCATACTACTCCCGGAGCCCTGTTTTCACTCTTGATCCACTCAAGGTCACACCTTGCAGTATCATTAGAGAGGAGTAGAATGGGGTAGTAGTCAGAGGGCCGGATAATCCTCAACAATGCCTCCATAAGGTCTCGGATACAGGCCCCTGGCAGGCAGCACCTCCCAAGATGTCACGTCAGGGCGACATATGGGTGCCTCCGTCCCCCTCAGAAGAGAATCTCCAACCACCACTACCCTAGTTTCCTCCTCTTAATACAAACACATTTGTTTATTATCAGGCCCAGAGTAAATAATTGTTATCTGGGGGGAGCAACCATTGTGCATATCTCTCTTTCTCTGATAAAGGGCTGGACCTTATGAGCTTTCTCTGTGTAGAACTTTTATACAATTTACTGACCGATTTATTTGGGGTTTTGGTCCCTTTTGGAGGGTGATTTCCTGGGTGCTGAGCCCTTAGACTAAAGTGGTTCAGGGTCTGTGCTGCTCAGCAGAGGAGTGGTGACCCCAACCCTGTGCCTTGTCCGGGGGAGAAGAGGGGATCTGGCCCAGCAGGGCAGGGTGGTGGGGAGCCCCAGGGAAGAGGAAGGCAGACATCAGTGGCATGATCAGCACACCATGGGACAATCCGAAGGGGACATCTGTGATTTGCACTTATCAACCCCGTTTCCTTGTGCATGCGCATGGACACCTTATGCATGCGCACATGTCTGCCCTCACCCTATGCACACACAATTCAAGGCCACTCTTTGCCACCCCTCTGTGCATATGCACACTCACACAAGCTCGGCAACACACACCAGGGCACAAACACCTCTCTGCACGCATGAACAACAGAGAGGTACAGACACACACCGTGTGGATTTGAACAGCCGCGGGGAGTGCCACACAAACAGCAATGTAACAAAACCTCCCCGGCTCTCATCCCTGGCTGCGTTCCAAATGCTCCATTTTACAGATGGAGAAACTGAGGCACAGAACAGGGAAGGGACTTGCTCAAAGGCCCCCGGCGGCAGAGCTGAGAATGGAGCCCGTGTCTCCTGAACACCAACTCAGTGCACTATACACCTACAAGGGGGTAACGAGCCAGTGCAGTGGGGCCATGTATATACAGACACTTCGGCCTCCCCCATGCACATGCTGCTGTAGGAGGCCTGGGGGCGGGGTCTAATGGAGCGACACCCATTAATATCGACCCTGCAGGCAGTTTATGTCTCTCTGGCCCTTTCAGTTCCAGCCAGGGACTCAATTCGAGCAGCAGCCACAAACACAAAAAGAGGAACCGACTGCATGCGGCACTAAGGTGAGAGGAAGTGAAATGTGCAGACTGCAAGAAGAGGCAGGAGCCAGGGAATGCTAGCACTGCCCAGCTGTCCCCGTGCACAGAAGCCCCTGGTGGCATGCCTCAGTTTCCCCTTTAAAAGCGCCACCCTGACACTAGGGTGAGGATGTTCAAATGTGATTACCTGGCTAATGGTGAAGTCGATGCAATTTGTATCGACGAGACGATGTGTCGTTAAGTGCCTCTGCAGAGCCGCAGCGGGGTAGCTCCAGGAAGCGACCCGAGCCGGTATTGAGCAGTCCTGGCTCCTACTGGCTCCGGAGCCCCTGCGCTGCGGCTCTGCATTTCACATGCAGTAAGAGCTGCTGGGCTTTTCCTACACTTAAAAGGCAGCGGCGCGGGGATGAGCGCACGCCAGGGCTGCTTGGTCCCGGCTCGCGCTGAGTCCGGCAGCCCCTGTTCATGGCAGCCAGGGCTGGCCACAGGCAGGGCTTGCTTTGTGGCAACAGCCCCTGTGCCCAGGGGAGCCCAGCACTCCAATGGCTCTTCACTACAGGCATGTTCGGTGGCTTTTTCCTACACTTAAAAGGCAGCGGCGCGGGGATGAGCGCACGCCAGGGCTGCTTGGTCCCGGCTCGCGCTGAGTCCGGCAGCCCCTGTTCATGGCAGCCAGGGCTGGCCACAGGCAGGGCTTGCTTTGTGGCAACAGCCCCTGTGCCCAGGGGAGCCCAGCACTCCAATGGCTCTTCACTACAGGCATGTTCGGTGGCTCCCCAGCTCGCCTGTCAGTTTGGATGGCAGGAGAAGGGTTAAATTTGATCCCTTACAGGGCCCCTGCCCCCCGCCCCCCACCCCATGCACCAGGCTCCTCCTGCCAAGACTGCCAGGAATGCGGAAGCCCCTGAACGAGGTGTTTGCTTTTGTCTCCCCATTGGGGGCCTCGGCTGGCTGTGTGCAGCCTGGAGGTTTATTATTCTAACCCTGGCCTCCCCGCTCCACAGAGGCCGAGAGACCAACTCCAGCTGGAGTCAACTCTGACCCCACGCCCCGCTGCCCCTGCCCCTCTCCCGCATCCCAGGCTCCTCCCCCTCCGGCGCCCCGGTCAGGCCAGGATCCACATCCT